TTGTGTACAATCCATCCAGTGGATCAACTTATACCCAAGGACTTGAAATTGACTTTCTGAACAACATTAACAAAGATATTGGAGATCTCAAAGAGAAAGGAGATATCTTATTGTGTGGAGAATTTAATGGTAGAACTTCAACTGAGTCAGATTTCATTTGTGATGATGACCATCAATTTATCCCTGTAGATCTTAACTACAACACTGATAAAATCATATTACAAAGGAAGAGTAAAGATCAAAAGATTGATGGTCGAGGTCAGATCTATTAGATTTTTGTATTGGGAATCAGTTTCGAATATTGAATGGCAGAGTCCTTGGAGATATGTCTGGTCAGTTCACATGTCATACTCCTAATGGTTCAAGTATTGTTGATTACGTCATTGTATCTGAAGACTTTTTTGAAAACATTCTGTATTTCAAAGTAGCAGATTTTATTCCAACATTCTCTGATACACACTGTAAACTTGAATGGTCCTTATCTGCTAAATTCAAATTAATACCTGAGAAAACTAAAAACAAATTTTTAAATACAAAACCATTATCCTCCAATTATATATGGGATGATAACTCGGAACATAACTTTTTAATTGCTCTCTCATCCAAAGATACTCAAAATAGGTTATCGGACTTTCATAAGAAATATGAAAGCATTGAGATTGCACGAGAAACTGTTGATGATGCATCATCTAATTATTTTATGATATTATAATTCAAGCAACTAACAACTCTCTACTTAAAAAAATAAGTCCCCAAAAATTATGATTTTTAACAGAGCTGGAAAAAAATATCGGAAAAGTTTTCTTTTCAAAATAAGTTGATTGAATGTGTTCAACAATACAAATATCTTGGTATTTATTTTTGTAACTTAGGTTCTTTTACCTTTGCTCAAAATGAATTATATAAGAAGGCCTTGAAAGCATGTTCAAAATTACAGAGAGAAATTATGTCCAATTGTCATATTGTCAATATTAACATTCATTTATTTGATCATACCATTTCTCCTATTCTTCTATATGGTTGTGAAATTTGGGGGGCTTTCAAACCCTTTGCTTCTAAATTTCAAAACAAAGATATCACAATGGACAAAATATTTAACAAATTAAAATGTGAAACAATGCACATAAAATATTGCAAGGCTATTCTTGGAGTGCATAGAAAGTCAACAAACTTTGCAGTTCTGTCTGAGCTAGGCAGATTTCCACTGTATCATTCAGTTATTAAAGCTATGCAAAGTTCCTGGTTTCGACTAGAAACATTACATCAATCTTTTGTCCTACTCAAAGAAGCATACTCCGTCTCAAAAAGCCTCTTTTTAGAAAATAAACCATCATGGTTTACATGCATTGAGACAATTTTCGGTCATTTAACTGCTTTCAAAAATATTGACTTATCAAAATATATAGTACTTGTTCATTTAAAAAGAAGTCATCATGTATTATAAGACAGTATTTTATAAACCAATGGTATAAAGAAAATAGGCAGCAAGATGGTAAACGAAGGACTTATTCCATCTTCAAAACCAATTTTGGAAGAGAACACGATCTCCACATTGTCAATAACTATCAGTGGCGGATTTAAGGGGGGGCGCACCCGGCGCGCGCACCCCCCCTAAAATTGTCAAAATTAACGTAAATCACAGTTTCGTCTAGAAAATGTAAATATGTATACTTCGTAGACCTCATTTTTACCCTACAAAATCTCTAGAATCCAGGAGCTTCCGGGGGCTTCGCCCCCTGGGCCCCCACCAGGGCTTTGCCCTGGACCCACTGCCCCCTTGCCTACTGTTAGCGCCCCCTCTAACTTCAGTTCCTGGATCCGCGCCTGACTATGATCAGAGGAAAAATATAACTAAACTTCTCATTTCTGCACATTAAATATTGAAAGGGGAAGATATTCAGGACTTCCCCCCTGAATCAAGAAAGTGTTCTCAATGTAATATACAGGAAGTTGAAGATGAATATTGAATAACATTTTTTACTCATTTGTCAAAAAAAAACAGCAATGAAAGGTTGCAATTAATGGAAAAAATATCAAAAATCAACCCAAACCTCTCTTCCTTGACACCTGATGAAAACCTTATATGGATATTGAATAATGAAAATAAAGAAATTTATTGGAAACTACTTACCAAGTATTGCCTACTTGGAAAATTTATTTCTGAAAATGGTAAAAGAACCAATGTACATTTATAAATACATAGATTCTGTCATCATGTTTATGCATGCTAAGCCATTTAAATTTATACATGTATAGCATCACATTTGTATTGTTTTATGATCATTGACATTCTTCTGGACACTTGTATTATGTATGATCATTGACACTAATAATAATATTATTATGTAACTTGGTCATTTGTATAACTGTCTAAAAAAACAAACTATATTGTTAAAAAAAAAAGAATGTTTAAATTGTACATTTATATATGTTGAAATGCCCCTCGGGGCCCTTGATTGGTAAATAAAATATCTTGTATCTTGTATCACTGGCGGTTTTAGTGAGTTACCACCCCCTCCCCTCCTCTTTTGTCCAAATTATGCATAAGATTATTTATTGTGTGGCTGTGGGCCTCTACCCCGACCTCAAACTGCCCCCAATATTATTTTTCTAGATTCCTGGATCCGACACTACACACTGACTTTGTAAACATAAAAAAAAATTGGATATTATCTAAGAACTGGAAAAATTATATGTATGAAGGTGCGAGAAGAAACAAGAGATGTATAATGTGTCTGTGAATAAACCTTGTGTACGAGTTAAATTTCAATTTGAGTTGAGTTCAATATTAAATCAATTTCTGTTGAATGCTAAGTACGAATCAGTTTATGTACGACTTGTCAATTTCAAGCGCATGTGTTTGGATACACACACAGGGACTAAAAATTTCATCGCCATCACAGTCCAGTTTTCTTTGTTTAACTTTAGACCAGCAAGTGCCAAACACGTGTAAATTTATACTAAATAAGTTTTTCGAAGGTAAGGATTGTCTAGTTTTTTTTGGATGACAAAATGTTTTTTTTTTATAACAATATCGTCGTGATAGTGTATCCTAACTTCGTCCCTACCCTTACTCCCTCAGCGTTTTCAATAAGATTTTCAATAAGAAGGAAAAATAGATGGAATAGCAGGAAACCAGTCTTGGCGAGGGGTCTTGGGGCCGCCTTAGGCGAAAAAAGCCTTAAAAAAAACTTCAAATTTTTTTGTGCATCTGCCTGTAATTAAACTTGTGTATATTTATACATGTTAGTGTTTATTTACATCAGAGCGGGGGTATAGATGGTTTTCCTTTGACATATTTTGCGGCATTGCCTCGGAGTTGTTCCCTTTATCCGCCATCTTGTAGGGCAAGGCAGTGAATTTTCCTCTTTGAGCAACCAATATTTTAAACATGCATGCCAGAAATATATGGGGGGGGGGAAGTATTTACAATCTCAAGATTATGAATTAAAAGGGGCTTTAACAAACATATTTTCACGTCCAGTTCCAGAATAATATTTTCTTGATGCTGTAACGGGAGAGGAGAAAATGCAGCGGACCAGACCAGGATTCGAACCCTGGCCCCCTGAAACTCTGGTCAGGTGCTCTACCAACTGAGCTATTTGGCCACTGGCGATCAAACCCAGCTGACTGCCACATTCCTCCCTCCTTAAAGGTCTTTGGCCCTCCAAATACCCCAAACCAGGCTCATGCCTGGCAGGCATCTCACCTGTCAGTTCCAGGGCATGGCACGGCACCAAATGTAATGGGAGAGGACAAAATGCAGCGGACAAGACCAAGATTCAAACCTGGGCTCCCTGAAACTCTGGTCAGGTGCTCTACCAGCTGAGCTATCTGACCAGTGGCTATCAAACCCAGCTGACTGCCACAAACTTTTACTGACACTGATTTTTTTTTTAATTCTGCATGAAATGTGTAAGCTACTGATTTTTTTTTGTTACATTTAGCATGAAAAATGCTAAACCACAATATTTTCTCTACTTTTAAGTAAAACCACAACCTTTTCCTTCCTGTTTGCTGAGTAAAGATACTAATGCAATTATCAGGTCCAGCACAATATCCCGAAAAAGGTATATAGCTTGATAAAGCTATATAGCTTTATCAAGGTATTTAAAATACCTTGATCAAGGTATTTTATGTAATGAAAATTCAAAAAAATTCTTTATAAATTAATTACGGAAAGTCGAGTTCTGAGTTGTTGTCAATAAATTCACCCATGCATGTAAAGTACTCAAACACAAACAAATCGGTATAAAAACGTGTCGTGTGAGGAGACGTTATTTTATGCTTTCTTTTTGATACCAGAGTGTTTTTCATGCACGAGTAGACACACTGACAAAAACTCAGAACTCGACTTTCGGTATTTAATTTTAAAAGAATTTTTTTGAATTTTCATTACATAAAATACCTTGATCAAGGTATTTTAAATACCTTGATAAAGCTATATAGCTTTATCAAGCTATATACCTTTATCGGGGTATTGTGCTGGACCTGATTATAGTTAGGCCTAATTAAGTTACAAAAAAAAAAAATTAAGAACATCACAAAATTGTCGAATTGCTCTGTATTCCAAAGTTCAGCTAAATTTTTTACATTAATTATGCTCTAGATACACGTTATCTTACTTTCATATTCTTATACAATGCAAAATGTAAACCTTTAAGAAACTTGGCGAAAACATAGGATCTATCATCTGATCTGAGACTGACCTTTTCTCATAAATCTTGCAATATTTTGTGAGGTGTTTTGGTTTGCATCCAGCCCATCCGATGAGAATTATCACCGGTTCCTTTGATTCTCCTTCGATGACATAATCATCCAGTATCTCATCACTGTCATCTATCCCTGCACTTGGCGATGGAAAAGTTATGTCGTATTCTATGTCGTCGTCCTCCATGTTTTCGTCCGCTGAATAATTTATCAATTCATAACGTCTCTTGTGATTGGATAAAATATTTGCCTCTAACCAATGAAAGATTGCGTTCTATCACGTACAGTGTAATGGCGATTAGCAACATGTAAACAACGATTTTCGTTTGGAACAGACAATTTTTTTTATCCTTTAATATCTTTATTCTTGGATTATACATTTTTAAAAACATTTGTGGAGAAAGATGGGGTCGGCAAAGCAACAGTCGGCAATTTCAAAAATCATGGGACTTCTGCAGGAATGGGATAAAGGCAGTAAAGTTGTGAGACAGAAAATTCTTCAGGATTTTATTGCACAAAATCAACACAAAACAGGACCAGAACTTGAACAGGAATTTGCACAGGCCGCCAGTTTATTTCTGACACGACTCACAGCTTGGCTTAGATTGACGTATCCTCATGGAAAAAATATGATACATAATCTTAAATTTTTCAATGAGGTTTTCTCTCTCTCCATCTCTCTCTTGACTAATTTAGATAATAGATTTTTTCTTAGATGTACCTCACAGAAAAACATTTGAATCATATCTTATGGTTAACATATATTAACATGTGTTATATGATTTATCAAAATATGTGCTCACACCTTGCAAAACTAGTGCATATTCTTATCGATACAACAAATGTGTAACTTTATTATTTTACCTGTCTGTCTGATTACAAATAAGAGAAAAATCTAGGAAACCTTTTTGTCACTGAATGCATTTTGTGTAAAATAGAGAGATTTTAAGATGTGATTAAGATTTAACAAAAAAAATTATTTTGTATATCTCAGTCTCTCTTTTTCCTTTGTCCTCGCTGTCTTTAGATAAACCTTTTAGGTTCATGTCAAACTAATTTAAAGTGGATATTGACACAAACATTTTCATATATAAATTATTGCAATCTTAACCCCAAATACAGATATATGATTGGAACTTGTTTAAATGAACAGCTCAGAGCAATTTCAATATTTTTATCTGCATCAAGTGGGTAAGTGAATTGTATTTACAGAGTTTTGAGAACAAAAATATATTTCTGTGAGCTTTATCATCTTTCATAAATGATAATCTTTTTCTCTTTTAATCTAGACACAAATACATGGCAGAATTTCTTGAAGTTGGAGGAGTCCTGACACTTTTAGAGATTATTGGATTAAAACAAGCGAAGGAGGCAGACAAACTTCAGGCACTGAACTGTTTAATCTGCATCGCTAATGCTGGGAGAAAATATAAAGAACTTGTGTGTGAGAGTTATGGTAAGATTATATGGAAGAACTGTCAATAAACTGTCATGAATGTGGTCAGTAAATGCTTAATATTTTTTCATATTAACTTTTTTTTAAACACATATCATTTTTTAGATAAGTTTTTTCATTCTTAATATTTATTTTAGACACATTATACATCTTTAAAAATTAAAACCTGCATGAATTTAATATTTTTGTAGGAATAAGAGCAGTTGCTGAATGCTTAGCGAAATCGAAATCTGAGGAGACACAGGATGCCTGCAGAAATATCTTACTTATGCTGGCACAAGGAAACCCCAAGTTTGAAGTTCAAGTTTATAAAGGACTTATTGCTCTCTTGCCCTGTAGCTCACCTAAAGCACAACAGATGGCAGCACAATCCCTTAGAGTCATTCAGGTAGACTTGTGAATTAAAGATATTCAAGTACATGTATAAGGAACAAAGAAAGTTACACACCTAGTTTAGCATAACATGTTTGTATAAAATCCTTCTATGGACCAAAAAAAATTACTTTCCGTAAATGAATAACTCATATATTTACAGCCAGTGGTGAAGAATGCAAACCCAAATATTGTAGAGCCACTATTGAACCTCCTTAAAACACTGCATCTTGAAGTCCAGTTTGAAGGTAAGGTTTGTTTAAGAGATCTGGATTTAAATTTTTGAAAAATTCATGAGGACATGAACTACAATGCTTCACACCTGCATATTTCATGAAGCACATTAGGGTTTCATGATGAATTTGCAGGAGTGAAGCATTGTAGTTCATGTACCTCATGAACGGTGATTCTTTTTCAGCTATTGAATTGATTAAGGAGCTGATGGAATATGAAGTATCGGACACAATCCTACAGAAACTGGTTTCTCTTCTGAGGCCATCAAAGGAGGAAACGGTGAAAAGACCAGAAATTCTCGAAGGTAATTCTCTAACACTCCTTCTACTTACATACATTCCCAAGAATACGCTTTTAAATGATTATGTTTATAAGTGTGCAATCTAAGTTTATTCATTGGATGAATTTGTGGGTGATTCATAAGAGACAAGGTAGTGACACCTAAATAAATCAAGAATTAACACTGAAAGTAGGGTAACTAATGGAATTAAGGAAATTATATTATCCTTTTCCTTATTTTTATAGATCCTGATGTACCTAAAATAAATGCACCTTTACCCGTCTTCGTACAACAGGCTGCAGCTGCCAAAACCATAGGGTATGTAAATATTTCAGAACTAAATTTAATTGGTTCATCTCATTCCTTTTTTTTTTTATTTCTGGGGTTTTAAATGTAAAGATGATCATTTTGTCTTCAATTTTTCAGAATTCTATCTCGAGAGTCAAATGAAATTGCAGAAAAACTTATTCAGGTGAGTAACAAAGTTGTAATCTGCAATTAGATGAAAGAGATCATTGTATTGTCTTTATCTCCTTTAATTGAAAAGGAGGAAGTGCACAAATATTCTCCGTCATTATAATTTTTACACAACCTATTACAGCTAAGAGTAACCCACAACCTTCTGTATTCCATGGGGAACATGGACTATGCTGACAGCCAAAGACAATCCAGTATTTCATTAGAGGTAGATATACTTAATAGGTCTGCAAGAAATTTTTACACAGTGAGTGATATGTATGTAATTTTAAAATTACGGACTAATTTCCATACTTTTTTTTTACAGTACCTTTGTAGAACATTTCCTATCGTTGATGAACACGTGAAAGAAGCCATGGGAGATTCTTTATATGATTTATTTATGGTAAGTGAAAATAAAAGAAATTTTTCTTCAACGTTGGTGGTCAGATTTTTCCAAAATTGTCTGCCTTTAACAAACAGTACTCTACTTACATGCCGTAATTAACTATTTTATGTACAGAAGAAAAACTCTCATTGAATATTGTGCAATTTAAAAATAACTTCCTTATTAAAATCTGGTGTGCAATGTCACTTCTGTACTCTTTTTTCTTGTCTCCGATGTATATTAACCATATCCAACACAATTTATTACATCTCCGTGCGCCGACTACGCGTTTGACGATGTCATTTTCATCAAACTCATTTTCAACGATACTATGAAAATCATGACACCAATCGTCTGTTTCTAATTATATTTATATGAAATTTTGACATCATATTCATATTTTTATTATGATTTTAGTGATTTAAAATTGAGTTCAATGTATTATATGGTACTAAAGAAATAAAAGCAAATGTAATAGTTATATGCGTAAATTATTCCGAATTTTGTCCGTGCGCCGACAGGTCTTATCGGCCTTCATATAAATCGTCCTAATATTTTTAATATGAAAGATATGTATTTAAAAATTCACAATTTTAAAGAACATTGAATATGTTATGTCTTTGCAAAATTAGGTAAGTATTGGTTGCATGATTAAAAAAATATAAACATTGTCTAAGACTTTTTGGGACAACCCTCGTATTTATTAAATCATGTGTGCTTTGAAATTAATACTTGAAGTTCATCAATATCATTCACTAAGACTTTACAAAAACAACAATACATGTACATATTATTATTACCAAATTACTCTTAAGAAGTTGTATACAAATAATTGTGTAGTTCTTCAGAGAACACTGACTACATCACATTTACATTATTATACCCCCCTCAAACGAAGTTTGGGGGGGTATATAGGAATCACCTTGTCCGTCTGTCTGTCTGTCCGTCTGTCCGTCTGTCTGTCTGTCCGTCTGTCTAGCTGTCCGTCTGTCTGTGCAATTGTGTCCGGTCCATATCTTTCTTACAGAGGGACATTAGAATTACGACCTCACATAAGTTGCCAATGACCCAAGGGTGTGTCATGTCCTTGACCCAAGGTCATTTGGGAAGTTCAAGGTCACTGGAAGAAAAATTTCAGTACTCGTGTCCGGTCCATATCTTTCTTATGGATAAACTTGGTAGGTTCTCATTTCACACAAAGATTGCCCATGACCCAAGAGTGTGTCATGACCTTGACCCAATGTCATTTGGGGAAGTTCAAGGTCACTGGGAGAAAAATTTCAAAATGCATGTTTGACATATATCTTTTATGGATAAACTTGGTAGGTTCTCATTTCATACAAAGATTGCCCATGACCCAAGGGTGTGTCATGACCTTGACCCAAGGTCATTTGGGGAAGTTCAAGGTCACTGGAAGAAAAATTTCATAATTCGTGTCCGGTCTATATCTTTCTTATGGATAAACTTGGTAGGTTTTCATTTCACATAAAGATTGCCCATGACCCAAGGGTGTGTCATGACCTTGACCCAAGGTCATTTGGAGAAGTTCAAGGTCACTGGTAGAAAAATTTAATCAATTTTATAAATTTTTTTAAAAACTTTCAAAAACAAAATACATGTACATTATTAAAAACCCAAAATTTCTTTTAAAAAGTGTTACAATAATTGTGTAGTTTTCAAAAAACTGACTAAACCCTTTAAATTATACCCCCTAAAAATTTGGGGGAAAAAATTATTTCCCGGGGCGTGCTTTCTTTTTTCCCGGGCTGAGTTTCTGTTTGCAATTGGTTCCGGCCTTCTTTCTTCGAGGGCTTTAATAACAAATTCCTACCCCAAATTTAGTCCTTAAAGGTTTTAATTCAATCACTGGGAAAAACATTTTCGGCCGGTTTTTCTTTCTTTTATTTGGTAGGTTTTCTTTAACCGTTCCCCACCCAAATGGTTTTGACCTTACCCTTTTGGGGAATTCAAGGGATGGGAGAAAAAATTTTAAAACATTTTAAAATTTTCTTTTAATTAAAATTTAGGCCATTTAACAAAATTGATAAAT